ATTTTTAAATGTTCATAATTTTATTTTGATAAATGAAAAAATTAGAAAAGTCAATTCAAAATTATAGTTTTATTTCATTCATATCATAAAGAAATAAGGCAAGTTTTTTGAACATTACGATAGATTTTATTCTTTGGTGTGATAAATTTCGAAGCATGGGGCTACACAGGCCAACATTACATTGTTTACAATAGTATCTAGTACTACGCTTTTATTTTTTGAGCATACAATACATCTTCTTAATGGATTTTTCCTTTTTGTTTTATCACTATTATAAGGTGTTGGAAAATGTCTTTCTCTAAAATGCATGAGATTTTCTGATTCAGTACAAGGGTTGTATTGCCTCAATTTGGAGTACTGTTGTAGAAGTTTTATTATTAACGCTAAAGTTGATGCTTGGCTGTGTGCCTTCATATCACGGCTGTGGGCTAAAGTCGCTGTGTGCGTTAATCTGTGGCTGTCGACTATAGTTGACGCTCGTACCAAAGTGGTTAAATATAACTAGATGAGTCAGTATTTTAAAAGTGCTTGGGGCCGGGTGTGGCGGCTCATGCCTGTAATCCTAGCACTCTGGGAGGCCGAGGGGGGCAGATAGCTTCGAGGTCAGGAGTTCGAAACCAGCCTGAGCAAGAGCGAGACCTCGTCTCTACTATAAATAGAAAGAAATTAATTGGCCAACTGATATATATAGAAAAAATTAGCCGGGCATGGTGGCGCATGCCTGTAGTCCTAGCTACTCGGAAGGCTGAGGCAGTAGGATCGCTTGAGCCCAGGAGTTTGAGGTTACTCTGAGCTAGGCTGATGCCACGGCACTCACTCTAGCCTGGGCAACAAAATGAGACTCTGTCTCAAAAAAAAAAAAAAAAAGTGCTTGGAACAAGGTTTGGCACATAGTAAGCATTAACTTAGTATCATGGTTATTATTTTCATTATTATTGATATTTCTATTATGCTGTTTTGTGGCTGGCACATGGTCAGTACTCAATAAGTGATAGGTATTGCTACTGTCCTCATTTCACAGATGAAGCTGTGGTTCAGGATGGTGAAATGATTCTCTCTTTGTCTCACAGGTAGAACTGGGGCACCTCTGCATCTTCCAGTTACAAATTCAGTGCCTGCCTCAGCTTCCCCAGAGTTCCTCAAGAGTAACGGAAGGGAGGTATTGTAATTGTTATAAAATTTTGCAAAGAAAGTGAATAATACCAATACTGTCACTTTTTGGAATTGGTTGTATTTTGAGACCTATTGTCTGTTTGTCTTCACAAGGTGATTATATACATTATTGTAACTAATGTTTCTTTAATCTTTACCAAGTATTATTTTTGTGATAGACTAAAATTTTTGAAAAATCATTTCTTTTTGTGGTGGAAACAGACACAATGACAAAAGTGATAATTAGTAACAGAAGTTAACAGAAGTAAGCTCAGTACAGGATACCTAACATTTGACAGTTAGGGTAATATTATGGAGGAACCATATGGTAAAAGTGTTGAAGTTATTTAAGTCTGTAACTCTTGATTAAACATAAAAGAGGTAAGAGAAGGTAAATTTAGACATATACATGTATAATATGAATAATATTTTCTTTTACACTCCTTCTTTTGACTGACTAAAAAGCATTTACCAGTGCTTTACTTTTCCAAGATATACTGCCTTAATGATTGGTATTCCTTAATGAAAGCAAACAAATAAAAGCGTGATAGCTATACTAGAAAGCTATACTTTGAAAGTCAAACCTGTATTTTTGTAAACGACTTTTGATGACATTTACAAGCTGCTTGTTTCTTAATAGTTCATTCCCAGTGACCTCCTCATTTAAAGCCAGGTTTTTGTAGGTCAGCCGGATTGCACAAAATTGTACATCATTTGAAGGGGTTGGGAGTTCCCTTTTCTGCTTACTGATCTTATTCATAGTATTGTTTGCTAGCCTAATGATTTTTATCTAATCTCACATACTATTTTCATTTTTGCTCTACTAAAATTTGCAGTGGAAATTCTAATAGTATTAGAGTATAATTGTGTGATTCATTTTTTATGTGGGGTGGGGAGAGGCAGTCTGTAAGATATTCCTAGACTTTATGTCAGTTTTTCTTTGCCATTCTCATATTTTTGAAAATGTAAGGCTTTTATAATGCTTGTTTAATGTATTTAGTAAGTATTTATCAAGCCTCTGTACTGTGCTAAGATCTGGAGGTGAAGCAGTGCCCAGGATGTAGGCAGGCCATGTTGTCACTGACATCTAGAACATCTACATACCTTCTCTGTGGCCATGGCCTCAAAACAGAAATTCTCTGTGTGTGCCATCTTCTCATTACCTCGAGGTCATAGGAGGCTGGATGGAATATGGCCTACACATGTTAGCATATGTATAGAACAGAAAATTCCCTCCTATTATAGAACTTGCATTGTAGTGGAGGCAGCCAGAGAATAAACTTAATGTATAAATAAATCATGAGGTATTTTAGAAGGTGTAGGTGCTGTGGGAAAAAATGAAGCGGGTAAGTGGATGGGCAATGCAATTTTAGATGTGGTCGTCAGGATAGGCCTTAAGTAGGCGACATTTGAGCAAAGACTTGGCAGGGGAAAGGGAGCAAACCATCTGGATAACTGGGGGCAAGAACACCCCACTCAGAGGGACAGGCCGTGTAGAGTACCTGAGTCGGCCAGAGAACTGCAAGAAAAGCAGCATGGTTGGAGTTGAGGAGATCAGGGGATGTGAAGAGATGAGGCCGAGACCAAAATGGTGTTGGCAGAGAAGAGCCATGTCACACAGGGCCTTCCTTGCAGGCCATTCTATGTAGGTAGGTGAGTTTTGGGTGGAGGAGTAAAATAGATTGATGTTTTGAAAGGATCAGTGAAGGGTGATGGGTCAGAGACCACCAGGTAGGAGGCCTTCAAGCAACCTGGGCTGGGGTGAGTCAGGAAATGTATTGAGCAATACAGATCTGGAGGTGAAGCAGTGCCCAGGATGTAGGCAGGCCATGTTGTCATTGACATCTAGAACATCTATTTTGGCTTTATTTTGAAGGTGAAGTTAATGGGTTTTGCTGACAGATTGCATTGAAGCAAGAGAAAGAGAAGTCATGGGTGACTAAAGTTTTAGGTCTCAACAAACATGCAGTAATATCTTTCTTACAAATTTAAATTAAGAGTTTACTTTTTATTTTATTTTAGTGTATTATGGGCATACAAGTGTTAAAGTTACGTATATTGCCTATGCTCCCCCTCCCCCCTCGAGTCAGAGCTTCAAGCGTGTCCATCTCCCAGACATTGCACATCTTACTCGTTGTGTTTGTATATACCCATCCCCTCCTCCCCCCTCCCACCTGCCCGACACCTGATAAATGTTATTCCTATATGTCCACTTAGGTGTTGATCTGTTAATACCAATTTGCTGGTGAGTACACGTGGTGCTTGTTTTTCTGTTCTTGAGATACTTCACTTAGAATGTGTTCCAGAGTTTACTTTTTAAGTAGGACTTACTAGAGTTGCTTTTAACTATGCTAATACTAAAAGAATCTGATTTAAATATTCTAGAACTTTTTAATGAATGGTGGTTTTTATATTAATATATAGAATTTTATAAATAAGAGAACATAGAGGACTGCTTACTTTTTTTAATTATGTTGCCATTAACTATAGGTTATTTCTGTTCTTTTCATGATGTCACAGGTTTAGGAATTTAAAAGCATAATTTTTCTTTAATATTTAACAGGAAGAAAATAAATAATTATATCACGAAACTAGCTGGTACTTCACATCATTTTTCAGCTCTTTTGACCTTAGGCAAGTTGCTTGACTTCTCTGAACTATATTTTCTTATTCTGTGAAAACAAGGAAATAGCTACTTCATTGGGATTGTGTTATGGATTAAATGCAATTATTTTATATATAACTAGTTATAGTTGCTTAATAAAAGGTACAGGTTATTGTTGGCATTGTCACCTTCATCCTCTTCAGCACTTTCTTCTCAGTGGCCTAGATTGGTTCATAGCCTTTCCATAGCTGCTTCTTCAGTCTGAACTCTACTTAGTCGCCTTGGTCTCTTGCTTGTAGGAATTTATGATCTTTCATATCTTATCTTTCCATGTTCTCAGAATGTTATACATCAGGCGATGAGGATATTTGGATATTGAAATAAGTTATAAATTAGTTGGAGGGGTAGGAGAGAAAAGCCCCATCCACTTTAAAGTCAAAAGCTAGGCTCATCCCTCTCTGTCATTCTCCACAGTCCCTTTTCCCAAATTTGTCCTCTGTCACTGCAACTGCATGAGCTCCAGCCACTACCACCCCTTGCTTGCATCACTTTCCTTCTGCTCAGCTGGTTGGTGCTATGGTTTGAAGACCCTGGCATCATAGATGAGCACTTGGGCTTGGTGATTCCTGCGCCTCTTCCTAGTCATAGGACCCTGTCCTTTAGTCTTAGTGTTCTTATCTTTAACACATTGCCACACTAGAAAAAATTATTTTTCTTGGAGCCACAGTATTTTATTACTAAAATAGAATAAAAACTTCAAAAACAAAATGATCCTTTCTAATTTAATGAAAAATTTGTTATTTTTTATTGTTTTCTGTGCATAAGTTATATGCAACTTGAAAAATAGTTCATGCAGCTCCTGAGATGAAGAGACGTGTGTGAGTCACATATGCTTCATGAGACCCTGGGCTCAAAACTAGCATGAATTAAATACAACTTACATGGCAGTTAATGTTTTAAAGGAGGTGTGATAGGCTGGGCATGGTGGCTCATGCCTGTAATCCTAGCACTCTGGGAGTCTGAGGCGGGAGGATTGCTCAAGGTTAGGAGTTCAAAACCAGCCTGAGCAAGAACGAGACCCCCGTCTCTAATAAAAATAGAAAGAAATTCATTGGCCAACTAAAAATATACAGAAAAAATTAGCTGGGCATGGTGGTGCATGCCTGTAGTCCCAACTATTTGGAAGGCTGAGGCAGAAGGATTGCTTGAGCCCAGGAGTTTGAGGTTGATGTGAGTTAGGCTGACACCATGGCACTCACTCTAGCCTGGGCAACAAAGTGAGACTCTGTCTCCAAAATAAAGTAAAATAAAGGAGTTGTGATAGTACTAAGTTTGCTTAGATGTGAAAATTAGATGTAGTCAGTATTTAGTATATAGAATATAGAAGGTGACTAGTCTCTACTAGTCATGTAGTAAATAATAGCTTGTATTTTTAAACTTTTGAGAGTCATAACTCCAAGATGGACTCAGGGTTTGCTTGGATTATTTGTACAATCTGTTAGTTGATGGTTCAGATTAAACCCCAAGCCATTCTCATGGGAATGAGTCAGATAATATGTGCTTATGGATGTGCTTTTATCATTCCCATCATGGCAGTGATCCTTTATGGTCCTGGTCTCTCCTCGGTAATGGTAGAAACTGGGGATATTTTTCATGCATTCTAATTGATCAATTTGCCTGTTTCTTCTATTCTTTCTCTAGCTTGCTTGCCTGTGTTTTTCTGGAGCCCCTTTCTTCCAGGTGTTGCCTGGGGTTAGAGTTCATGGTGGTGAATGATGTGTTTTCACTGGAGCATAGAAAAGGTCACTTGAATTCTGGCTGCTATTAGTAGCCTGGAAGTAAACCTGGAGACAAAACCATTATCCAGAGTAGCATGTTAGAAATGACACCACTATCCTGGGGCATCACAGTACACAAATATACCCCTTGTTCTCCTTGGCTCTTGTTTTCAAAAGTTAGTGAATTAATGAACAGAGCCTCAGTCATTTTCACAGTTTAAAGTATTTGATTTTGGATTAGTTTATAGAATTGTACTACTAACAAAATTACCTATATATTAGGAAAGCTACAACTGTATAGAGCTTCAGTTTGTATTATGTATGCTCAAAGAATAAAGGCTCCAGGAGGCTAGTTACTTACTATCTTACTGCTAAAGTGGAATGTGTTCAAATAGCTAAATTTTCTAGATGACCTTGACTATCTCACAGTTTGAACGGAAAAACCCAGTAGCTTTGTATTAAAAAAAGTTGCTAATACAGATTGTAAAGATATTTTTCTGTCCTACTTTTTCAGTACGAATTTATTACTCACTTATATTTTGAAGCTAAGAAGAGAAATCATGCATCTTGGATCCCTCAATATTCCCTAAGCTAATTTTAAAGAATTTGGCTACCTCAAATTATTGTTTTTGTGTTTTCTAGTTTTATAAATTTATAACCTTAATATGAAAGTATCAATCAGGAAAAATATTTTACTGAAAAAATATTTGGGTTCCTACAGACATAATTATTTACTAACCTGTTTTTAATATTGATCAGGACTTTTTTTCCCAAAATTATTCCTATTTCATAAAGGTAATTATTTTAATCCTTAAAGTCAGAATTAGGTTGGTATGACTTTGAAAACAAAAATGGTTTGAGGAGCCATCTATAGACATGATCTGGGTCAGACTTGATTTGCAGCTTACTCAATTTTAGAATCCTCTGTCAGTTTTGTAAACAGAAGTCTGCTGGATGAATTGAACAGAAGGGGGAGATTAGCATATTAATAAGGTACTGGCAACTGGCCTTCTTTTTCTCCTCCCTCTTCTCCCTCCTTGTCTTTCCTTTCTCTCTCCTTCCCTGAATGAATCTAGGAACACAGACCCACGGGGTCACATTACTAGCTGGTTTCATTCTGTTCGGTAGCTTAATCTGGCCAGGATGGTCTGTGTTTCAGATTGCGGAAGCATGAGAAGATTCTGTAACTGAGAGGCATTCTTCAAGCTGCTGGAAAATATTACAGAAAGAACACCTCCCAAATTTTGCTTCAAGCTCTGAAAAAAGGAGCACACAGGGGAAGCTTAGTCTTACTTGTGGATCGAAGCAAGTACTATCGGAGCGATGAACTGGGACTTTGTGTGCGGACTCCTGGCTTGATCTTTATAGGATTGGGTGTATGTTGTTGGAACTGGCAGGCCAAGAGGCCCTGAAACCAGCAGGTGCCATCTGTATGGAGAAAAGCGGCTGTAGTCCATTTCCAATGTGTTGGGCTAAAGGTATAAATAACTTAAAAATCTGTTCAGTTTTTATTTTATGTAAATTTATGCTTTTGCATTAAATAGATAAGAATAGTAGATAAGAATTTTTCAGAATTTATTTCAAAAGATTTACAAATAGATTTACAATTAAATTTGAGGAAAAACAGAATTTGATATGGTATGGGTTTGCAACTATTGCATATAACCAATTAGTTTTTCATATAGTAAGTAAAAACATTTTTATGGAAATGCATTTTAAGTGAGTTAAACTGTCTTTTTAATGGCTCTGTCCCATGTCTCTTAAAAGTTTTAATTTTTCTTTTAGTCAAGGCACCTGTATCCTGTGATATGGAAGTTTAATTGGGGCTATAGGAAATAAGAGTAACAGATTTTTTTTAATTTTGAAAATTAGTTTTCCTTACTCACTGTAAAGATTGTATATCTAATTTGAAACTTCGTATTATTGTGAGGTGGCCTTCTCACTAAGGATCAGGAATACTGTGAATAAACAATTTTGCACTTTAATGTTGTTAGGGTTTTTATTCAAGTAAAACTAAATATAAAATGTAGCATTTTCATTCTAACATTCAAGATAGTATTTGGAAGCATATTTCGAAGTTAAAAATGCTATATAATTTCTGCATGACCAAAACCAAATCAATTTAGCTATTTTGCTCAAAGTAGTAGAGAATGTTTAACTTAGGAGGTAAAGTTCTTAATGAAAGATTTAATGAAAATATTGTTATTTCAAATATACTTAAATGTCATGTTAATCCACTTAGGAAGAACTTTTAAAAGGAGGCACTTATATTAGGTAAAAAAACTGTAGTTTTGTAAGTGGTAGTATAGACTGATTCAGTTTAATTTTTAGGGTAAAAATTTCAGTACCATCAGGATATTGATATGCTAGCACCAAACTACAGTTTTACCATTAAATTGATTTTCATTTATCTACTTGTCATTGTCTTTTATTAATCCTTCTCTAGGCTTTTGAACATTTATAAAACATGATATTAGAATTGTTTTAGTAACATGGTATCTGAACAAAACACTTGTCACTATTACAAAATTAGATTTTCAGAGTAAGAATTTTGCCAAGTTAAATTTGAAATTGTCAATTTCAAAGCACATTAGGTATGGGAACTTTTTAAAATTGCAATTTCTCAGCATTAGGCCTGTATAGTATAAATGAGCATGACCAGTAATGAGTACTCAGAGGCAAAGACTTCTATACTTTCTGAAAATTTTTGTCTTTTCCTAGACTTGCTGGGATTTGCTTACTTAATATCACTTCCATTGTCTGATAGCTCTCTGTTAGCATTGATCCTTGATAATAAGGATCTCTGATTTCCCTCACGAGGTCTAAGCTAGATTCAGATCTACAAATCCAGTAGCAATGGGATATTAAATTATCAGCTACTAAATTTCTTTTTATTCATAGTGACCTTAGAAATGTGGACTTTGGAAGAAAAGAGAGATTGTAGTGGTTTTGCTTACTCCAAAATGATTGATAGAAGCAACTTATTTTTCAATTGCATTTGCTAGCTGTCATAGCAAATTAGAGCTATTTTTAACTGAAATATGGATTATGATAGAGGTGGGGGTTGGGTGAGAGAGAACAAACCTCTAAAGTATAGAAGATGGAAAAATAGGGACAGCATCAAGGATCAAAATCTGTTTCATTTGCAGAGCCTGGTGAAGCAAGCCATCTCCTGGGATGAATGGTCTTGCTTTTAGATGGCTCAAAAGGAGGTTCTGACAGTACAGAAAGTTATCCTGTGCCCTTCTCTGGGCTGAGCACACTGCTCCCACTGTCACCTAGGACACAGCTGTCTCAGTAAACTTCCTTTCTACCTCCTCGTTTTACTCTTGTACCAGGACAGGAAGGCAGGAAACCTTCTGTTTTTATGTTGGTTAATTTTTCTTATGTGATAAGGACAAAGATGTTGATGTATAAAAATTGGCTGAATTGGTTATTTTCAAGTACAAAAGTTACAACTTGTAGATAAAGACAAAGCAAATAGCTCAAATCCAAAGAATATACAAATCTCTATCTGCAGTTAGACATTCTAAACCACAGATTTGATTTTATCAGTCACATTAACCTCAAAAAAACATAGCAGTGTCCCAATTTGAGACAAAAAATATCAGTACAAGCTAAAAATAATAGAGTAGAACTATATTTTTGTACTTAGAACTGAAACCTTTAAGGTATCCTTAAAACACTCTGAAGTCTTTTCTATAACAAAGTTTATTGTACTATTGAATTCGGTATAAAGAATCTACCTTAGATTTTATCCAAGGAAGATTATATTTTAAAGTATTTAAAAAGGTCCTTGGCTGGGCGTGGTGGCTCAAGCCTGTTATCCTAGCACTCTGGGAGGCCAAGGCTGGTGGATCGCTCGAGGTCAGGAGTTTGAAACCAGCCTGAGCAAGAGCGAGACCCCGTCTCTACTATAAATAGAAATTAATTGGCCAACTAATATATATAGAAAAAAATTAGCCGGGCATGGTGGCGCATGCCTGTAGTCCCAGCTACTTGGGAGGCTGAGGCAGCAGGATTGCTTGAGCCCAGGAGTTTGAGGTTGCTATGAGCTAGGCTGACGCCATGGCACTCACTCTAGCCTGGGCAACAAAGCAAGACTCTATCTCAAAAAAAAAAATAAAATAAATAAAAAGGACCTTGTTATAACATGTGTTCACCTATATCATGATTTCTGGTCTTAAAGACAGTTTTAATTCAGAATATTAAATTAAATGTAGATGTTCAAAGTGTGTGAGGTTGCAAGACTGTTGAGTGCAGACACTCTTTTGGGGGAGTTCTGTGATTATGTGAGTATGTACATTATTCATTTGATTGTTTTGGAAGGCTGGGAAGGATAAAAGAGGTGTCAGATTTGGTTGTTGGGGGATATGTTGATTTCTTCTGTTTCTTTCATTAGTAGATTGAGATTGAATATATTAATACTATTAACAGTATTTGTGTATATTAGTATGTTAATAACTCTTTGTACAGCCCATCTTCTTTTCTGTGTTTCAGATTTTTATGGGCATCTGCTTCTTGGTATCTACATTTGTATTTTTCATAAGCATCTGATACTTTGCCTGTTAATTTCTGCCCCCCCCTCACTATTTTAATAAACACATTGTATCCCTATCCACTCAGCGGTTCACATATCCAGGTGCCTGTTTGGTACTTCCTTTGATATATAATGAATCCATTTTTTTTTTTTTTCCCCAGAGACAGGGTCTCACTCTGTTGGCTCCAGTACAGTGTTCTGATCATAGCTCACTGCAGCCTTCAACTCCTGGGCTCAAGTGATTCTCCCACCTCAGCTTCCCAACTAGCTGGGACTACAAGCATGCTTCACCATACCGAGCTAATTTATTTTTTGTATCACTGTGTTGCATAGGCTGGTCTCGAACTCCTGGCCTCAAGCAATCCTCTTTCCTCAGCCTCCTAATGAATCCATCTTTTTATTCTGATGATTCTACCTCCAAAATATGTCTTGATTTTCTCAATTTCTCTCCCTCTCTGTTATGTCCACTCTGGTCATGTTACCCTCTTGTCTTTCTGGGCTATGGGAGTAGCTTCTTTCCTGTCTGCTCTTCCTATTTCCACACTTGGCTCATCCTTCATGTATCTTCCAGAGTGATTTTGTAAAAACACAAATCTCCTTACATTCCTGCTTAAAACTCTTCAATGTCTTCTCATTAGACTTGGATAAAACCCCACATTCTTAACAGGGTCTGCAAAGTCTCACCTGATCTGGTCTCTTCTTTCCTTCTCCAGCTTTGAGCCGTTGTCCTCTTGCTCATTAACAGTGCAGTTATTTTGGCTTTTCAATGCCCTAGACACGCAAAACTCTTCTTCTCATTGCCTCTTCCTGGAACCATCTTCTCTGCATTCTTTGGCTACCCAACTCCTGCTTATCTTTTAGGTCTCAGCTTAAGTGAGCACTCAGTCTATACCAGGTTCTCTCTGATGTTCCTCCTGTATCTTTTTCTTCTGGTCTTGCACAGCATTTACTGATTTGTCATTATATATTTTAATAGTTTGATTTCTCTATTCCACTAGACTGTAAACATAGTCAAGGATGATGACAGGTTTTTTTTCCTGCCTGACAGATAATTGGCACAAATGGTCATTACTTTAATGAATTCATTATTTTAATGAATGAATAAATTCTGTTATATATAGTGTTAGGTTTGATGATTTTTTAAAGGCTCTTTCAGAGCTAAAATCCTGTGATTAATGTATATATTTTTTTGTAGGGCAATCTAGGTTTAGAATCATTGAACTGTCAGAAAAAAGCTTCTATATCAAAATTCTGGCCATTCTGATTTCATCGTGATTGGGTTTTGCTTTTCTTCTTAGGGTAAAAGTTGTACATGTAGTGTTTAATGTAGCGGTTTGCCCAATGGCATTTTAAAAGAGAACCATGCGTCTTTATAATAACAGCTAAAACTTACTTAGCACATACTGTGTGTCTTGCACTGTTCCGAGCACTACATGTGCACACAAACACATATTATCCCATTTAATTCTCACAAAAGCCCTCTGAGATAGGAATTACTATCATTCCCATTTTATAAATGAGATAATTAAGGTACTGAGAAATTAAGTAACTTGGTAATGGTTGCTCAGCTTATTAAAGGCACAACCAGGTTCTAAACAGTGGGAAGCTGACTCTAGTGCCTATGTTCTTAATCATTGTTCTACACACACCCAAGTGGAAAAATGGTAGGATCATAACAGAATTTGATTGTTATTTTGTGTAATTTTTCCATGTTGATATAAGAACCATACTGTCTACTTTGAGATATTTTTCTTTGGGCACTTATTATTCATTCATTCATTCCACAAATATTTAATGAGCACGTAGTATAATATGTGCCAGGCCCAGTGTATTTGGCATATGCCAGTGAGTAAAAGACAAAGCTTTATTCCGACTCCCTGATGGAGTCAGTCTTCTAGTGAGTGGAAATAGTGAATGATAAAAATAAGTTGATTAGTG